TGTTAACATATTTCAAGGCTGCTGCTAGAAGAGGGAATAACCTGCTTGTGGCAGCTCTAGAGAAAGAAAGAGTGGATTTGCACTCAGAAAAACAGTTTCAGGTTAATATTAGTGAAATACATACCAGTAGGGGTCCTGAGGTACTGGACTAGACCCTGGAACCTCCTCTACTGAAGAGCTTTAATAACAGGAAGAATAAAAGCTGTTGTGAGAAAGATCTGTCTTATTAGCCTATGTCAGGGTTGAGAGAGTGGAGACCCTCCTGAGTTTCCTGATCTTTTGCCTTACCTTTTCTGCCTGTACAAAGTGTTTTCAGTGGCCTTCAGTTCTGACATGTAGCACTGGGTACATACAGTAAGTTAGAGGGACAGAGAAATTAAATTAAATTAAATTAGTTCCTGCTTTTATAAACCAAGAAGCTCAAAGTTAATTACACTGAAAATGCAAATAAAGGATCTGCTCCAGACAGTGAGAAAACTCCCTCTGACTTGTATTGCCCTTGGATCAAACACAAAAAGAAGAGCCTGCATTGTTTTCCTTCAGAACTGTTAATATGTATGTTGAATAAAATACAGAATTACAAAGGAAATAAACTTGTCTGTAAAAATCTTCATCCAACACTACTTAGGGTGCTGTTGTCTGAGTTTTAGTTTACTCATCTAGAGTATCTATTGTCTTTTGCCATATAAAATGACTCAATCTGTCATCAGCTTACGAGACTTGTTGAAAAGGGTAGGTTTGTCAAAAAAATTTTAGTTCTTCTGTGGTTCATTTCTTTTTCCCATTGACCTATGTTGAATTGTGTAGTATAATCAATCTGGTGTCTTGTGTAAGTGCATGAAGAATTCGTTTTGTTTAACAACAGCGTGTAGTACTTTTTTCTATCATTGCTGATGCAAGATCTAGGAAATTACTGGCCAAACACTGTATGTTCTACAATTTAATATTTCAAGTTAAATTACAGTTCTAAGAGCTGACATTCAGTGGCAGCCTTATTCATCTAGCTGCTGACATGAGTAATTTCAGGATGATGTGTGCAACAGCAGAATTCTCATCTAGTTACTCCAACAAATGTCTTTCAAATAGCTATGGGACAGTTAAATCTTTAACCCTGTGCTCACAGCTGCAAAATTGAATATGTATTTAGCCTGTGTGATTCCCAGCTCATTGTGTCTCCAGGCTGAAAATACTCTGATGAATCTGTGCACGTTTGAGTCTGGTAAACTACAGCAGTTGTGGAACTTGTAAGAATTTCCACATCAAACCATACTAAGTTTAGTGCTCAGTTAGAAGTCTAAAACTTAGTCAGAAATGACATCTAAATGAGGGGTAAAATATAGGCTACTCCATGACTCCAATGACAGATAAAAGCTTCTCTCTGCCTATCTGCCAGAAGACACACGCTAAGGAATCAGTGGTCCAATATCTGTCTGTGTGAGCAGCAGCTGCCTGCATTGCTGGTCATTAGAGCACTTTTAAAGTACAGCCCTCCGTTAAAATGCAAATGAACTCAAGAAAATGACAGTAACTCAGACTGGCAAACCACAGACTACTCTGATGGCCTGGCAGATTGTTAGAAGTGGCCTTGAGCACCTTCACCATAGAAAAAAAAGCTTAATTTTAATTAAAACTGGCAGTCATCTCCTTTTGGAGTTATTAGATCAGACAGTTATCAGATCAGATGGTTATTAGTTCATGTTCCTCGTGAAAATATCCCTTCTATATTTTGGGAATAAAGTCAGAAGTGTCATCTTTGACACCAAAGCAGGCATTTCTAACAGAGAAATGGATGAATCCAAGGGATGCAATAAAAGCCAAAGCAGTGTCTTTTTCACCAAAATAAAAATCTCAACAGAATTAATCTGGTCTATGTGACAGAAAACTTTGTAAGTCAGTCAAGAATTTTTCTTCTGAGACTGAGAAACAGAGTGTATATTGTGCCAGAAAGCTAGATAATCGGGATATTCACTGAAAAAGAAAAATCTAGCCCCCAACTAGGGTCAAATCCCAAATCTGCTGCTACTTATGTCTTCATTTCATGAACATTTCTGGAAAGATTTGTCTTCTTTTTGTTTCAGACCAAGAATATTTTTGAAATCTCAGAAAATTCCGTAAAATGAGATTATTGTTCTCCATTAAGGTATCACAGCAATCATTACTTAAATATTTTTAGCTGCCTAACAAAGACTTGCTTAGAACTGATTCCAAGTGATGACATGCTAATGGAAAGCTTTGTGTACAGCAGAGATTATTTGAGCACAGAGGTTCCCCTCCCTCCCCCATCAGCAGTTTCTTATAGACTCCACTGATCCTGGGACCTTAGCGAACTCTTCAGGAACACAAGTTTTAGAGCATCCTCTAGTTAAAAATTACTAATCCCCCAAAACCTTAATTCTTAGCAGGACAACTTAACTTGCTAATTTCTGAGACCTTCTTATTTTAGAGCTGCATCAAAACAGGAGAATAATCTCTTTAAGAGAGTCAGTGTGGTTTCCATTTGATCATATCCCATGACACTGCTATAGCTCTCAAATGGATAAAGGAAAGATATTTTCCTTTATTGTTGATGGTAGTCAGGGGTATAATGGGAATGAGGGACAGAGAAAGGAAGATAAAACCAGGATTTTCTTTCATTTTATAAAATTGATCAAGGGGAGGAATGTGTGAAAATTTACAAACAAGTCACAGACACATAAGAAAATGTCCCATAAGAAAATGTCTTACCATGTACTCTGGAGACATGGGGAATATACTGAGCATAAACACAAAATATGAGCAACTGTCACTAAATCTCTGAGTAAATCTACTGAACTGTAGGTTACAGCTGCTATTTTCCCTCACAGGAATGATCACAGGAATTTCTTCTTGTTAATAAGCCCTTCTACATGTACTTCAAAGGTATCTCACCAAGAATGTCCCTGGGTCTGATTTTGCATTGTTGCTTACCCTCACCCTGAAGAAAAGCAAACTGTATCTATATACATAGCTTCTATTACAGCTCATACTTCCAATATTTCAATTTATAGATTAGAAATAGGATTTTTTAAAAAGAAGAAAGAAATCCTACAAGTCAACAGAACACATTTTAAAGCAAGAGTCCCAGATTAGAATTCAGCTGGCAAGCGGAGAGGAGTGAATATCAACATGTGAAGATCACACTAGGAACTAGAACAGTGGTTCCATGACTGCTTTGGATTGCTATCAACCCTCAGAATTTCTTACGGACCACCAGGCATCATTATCATCAAACTTTTAATTGAAAACACTATTTAAAATAGTGTTTAATATGGCTCTGTGGATTAGCTGTGAACCCTTTACCGTGGCCTCCTGGACCACCAGTGTTCTGCAGACCATGGTTTGGGAAGTGCTGAACCAGACTGCACACATTGTACACCCCAAAAAAACACCCTGTGTCTGAAAGCAGAGGCAGTACTGCAACCACACCTCCTACTCAAATAATGCACATCTCAGTTCAACCTTCTTGGTAGCTGAAGAACACAGAACCCTTTTGTTTTTCCACTACCCCAAGCTTCTTTTTTTATTGCTTTGGAGAAACAAGTAAATAGTGCCAAACCTCAGTTTCTGATTGTTTCTTGTAGGATCTTCCTCACATCTGGCAATGATGTTATTTTTCAGGAAGTTACCTATGAAAATAAGAAATATAATATAATGTGAAGTTATGATTCCAAAATAGTTATGAGATCTATGAATTCAAAAATTAAAAAATTAAAACTAGCTTCTAAGTAGGTTTTTTTCCCCTCCTCTGGAAAATTTGTTCCTTTTTTCCCTTCCCACATCCACCGATGATGCTAAAGCTCTATGTGTTAAAAGCATTTAAGTAACTTTCTGCAAATTCTTTACAATTATTCTTTGGCTGCTGCACTACAGGATTGTCTGTTTATTACCAGAGAAACACATAGAGAAAAACACTGAGGAGGGAATTTGTGGGGAAAGTGTTATAAATAAGAGCAGCAAAACACTATGATCCAGCCCTATGTGAAGTCAGTGACAGTCTGGTCTCACATGAGAGCAGGGATGGGCTGTAGCTTCCCCTCCCATCAATCTGCCCCCTTGCACCTCACAGGCACCTCAGCCAACAAGTATAGAAAGGTACCTCATTCACCTCTCCTCATATACTCATTATCAACAGCTGTTATATGGAATTAGAATCAGGAACCTTCGCAAGTAGCAGCATCACAGAAAATAAAAAACAACTTCCTTTTCTGAAACAACTTTTTTTAAAGAAAAAAAAAAAAGTCTGTGCTTCCATGACAGTATCTCACCTATTTTGGAGAGAAAACTGTGCTGTCACAGCATTGTATGATCAATAGCCACGGTAAGGCAGAGGTTTGGGTCAGAGTGGGAGTGAAAAAGGGTCACTTCAGCAAAACTAATGCACAGGGGGAGTCTGCAAGGGAAAGGGGTAACCTGTACCTTGAAAGAAAATGAAACCTACCCAGTTCTTGTCTCTATAGGCCTCACTTGCTGTCCTTTACACTCAGCATCACTAATGGATGCTACTGGAGCATTTATAAAGTTACATTAATAATCAGCCCCATTTGTATCCTAGGGGTTTTTTGGTTGTTTTTGTCTGAACAATTATCTTTTCCCACGCAGTGCCAATGCTTAGAGGTAGCTATTAACTCACTTTTTATTCATCTGAAACAGATAAAGTTCAGCTTGCAAACCTGACTAGACAGTGTGAAAACAAATCTTGTGGCCTCACCTCACCACTGTCCAGATTCATTGCCAAGTTCCCCTGTGGTGAAGGGGTTTAAGTGGACTATCACAGGGCTGCATACCTGGGGTAATTTGCCCTAGCAGAGCCAAGAATTTGAAATACGTGTGGAATTCTGTAAGATGAGAAATCCACACTGAGGAGTACCAGGCCCTTCTCACTTTGCTGCCTGACCCCCTTGCTGTAGATAATGTGTGTACTTTCTTTAGTGAGTACGTGCTGCCTTTCTACCAACCCATCAGCTTTTGGCTTCTCTCCACAGGAAGCAGGGAAGCCGCGTTCACCTATGCCATTACTGCTGCCGGGGTTGCACACGCTGTCACGGCCGCCTGCAGCCAGGGCAACCTCAGCAATTGTGGCTGTGACCGAGAGAAACAGGGCTACTACAACGAGGAGGAGGGCTGGAAGTGGGGAGGATGCTCTGCGGATATCAGATACGGCATTGAGTTCTCCCGGAGGTTTGTTGATGCCCGAGAAATCAAAAAGAATGCACGGAGGCTGATGAACTTGCACAACAATGAGGCTGGAAGAAAGGTATTCCAGAAAGGACAAGGGATGGGGATGTGTGTGCTGGAGGATGGGGGGAGGCTGGCTTGGTGGCAGGAGATTCCCTGAGAACTTACCCCTCTCTCTGATGTTATCCTGCACCCACATCAACTCACCAGATGGCATCTATTGTTCACTTTTATTTTTTATTATTTTTTTATTCAGAGCTAGCCATGTATTATAGGTGCTCCTGCAAAAGTTTCTGCTTCCTAAGCCTTCTTTCCAGCCCCTCCCGATAACAGGGAGGACCTGGCTGGATCTGTTTGGCATAAGGATATATCACTGCTTTTCATCCAATTTGCAAAAACCTAGCAAGGGGTGTCAGGGCTTGTGATGGGACAGAACTGAGCTGTCTGCATTGCTCAGCTTCCACTGCACTTCCAGATATTTATTCAAGCAAAATCCCAATCACTTATTTGACCCCAGCTCTAATGAAATACACATAGTAGTATACACATAGTAGTATACACATAGTAGTATACAATGCACTTCTTAGCAGATGCACAACTGTCTCTTTCTAACTAAAAGCTAAAAAGAGCTGCATAAGAAGAAACAGTTTCATGTCTACAGCCATGACTGAACTGATTGTCATGGAAACAATAAACATCATGGAGCTACGCTGATTTATGTTCACCAACAATCCTCATAGCTCTCAAAGCTTGTCCTTTAAAAAGTGCAATGAATCTTTCTGCATCAAATATACCTACCTCAGGAGAGATTATAGCCTTCAAAGTGTTTTCCCCCAGGAAAAGCCCTCCACTCCAGTGTTGCAGAAAAAAATCAATATACCAACATAGAAATCCAATAAAATCCTCCTCCTCTAGTCCCCAAAGTAAGACTGAATTTTCCTCTAAAACCATGTGTGTTTTCAGTCCTGCACTGAGCACTGGGCAGAGAGAGTGAATTGGTGGTGACAGAAACAGTGCAATTATCTTACTGGATCTTATTAGCACAGCTGCATTGGTCATGCACTGATATGGAAAGTTCTGTGTGGGCAGGAGCTCACTGGGATGGAAACCCTACATAAATTCAGTGTGGTGAGAGAGGCATAATCTCAAGTGTACAGACAAGATCAGTACTTCAGTGATAGTTCACACTGAGGTCTCCAGGTGTGCAGGAGAAAGCTGACTGAATAGCCAAACAGAAAAACAGCCTTGAGGGGCACAGTCTTTTCCCCTAAATCTTGCTGCCACAGGTATAAAAGAACTTCATTCAGCAGGTGACCATCACATTGGAAGACCAGCTCCAGGTCTGATCACTTCACTTAGGCTGGGAATTTCAGCTCAGCATCATGAACTGTGTTTGGAGGCAAAAGAAGATGGAAGACAACTCTTAAACTTGCCAGGGAGAGTTTATTAGTGCTAGATCCATTTTCATCCCTGCTTAGACTGGCATCATCTGTGGTGTGTGCTGTGCCATCCCTGTGGAGATCCTGATGCAGGTCCTGCTTGGAACATCAAAGTGTAGATGTGAAAGAGGGATAAAACAGAAAAAGCAGATATGGAGATGGAAAACAGTGAAGTCCCAAGGAAAGAAAGAGCTCATTATGTGAAGCAGGCACTGATCATGGGTCCCCCAATTCTGAATACAGCCCAGTAACCACTAGACCACATTGCTGATTCTTATTAAGCACATTATATTTTACTTTTCATCAGAATTTCATAAGCAGAGGGACATAAGCAGACCAAAGAAGTGCATGTTTTTACTGATACTTCTGGTAGCAGCATTCATGCAAATAAATTTTGTTTAACAATTCAAAAATTATTTTTTGCAAATTTTTGCAAGTGTTCCTGCAAAAAGCAAATTATAATACTTTGATATGTTAAGAAAGGAATAGAAAGGATTGCAATACTGGCAGTATATTTTTTCCCATTTTTAAAAATATAAATAGTATTTTGGAATTTATTAAATTTTTTGTTGCCAGCATTTTTCAGTAGTTATTTATACCCATAGGTATTCAATAATTCATTATATTGCTTTCAAAAGCTAAGAATGACTGGAAGGATTTGGTGTAGTTTTTTGTTTTTAACTGTAATCCATCAAATCCAGAGGAATGTGCTAATATGAAAGATGGTTTTGAGGTCATGTTTAGAAATAATGTTGGTCTTATGATATATATTCCCATTAGTTGAATATTCAGAGTTGTACAGTAAATAATATTTAGTTTCTTCTGAAATAATTTGCTATTTGCATAAATTAGACATTTTGAATTCAAGACTGACTGGGACTTAAGGTTAGAACAAAACTCTGGAACCTAGGATATGCTTTCTGTGTTTCTGGTTTGGACCCTTACAAAAGCAGTTACAGAGTTTTCTGCAATTTCAGTGTGAAATCTGAAGTTCCTTCTGAGAATCCAGGCAAACTTGAAATCTGACCCACATTCACCTGAAATCTAGAAGTTTTGGGGGTCCACAGTAAGCCTGGACTGGACTGTGAGCCTGACACAAAATCTGAAACCAGGAGAATTTGCTTGTGCATGGGTGTCATTTTTACATACTCCATATGGTCCTTATTCACACTCCAGTCAGAAATCACCAAATCACAGAAGCAATCACAGAAACACAGAACGGGTAAGGGTCCAACCCCTCTGCTGAAGCAGGATCCCCTGGACCAGGTTACTCAGGATTGTGTCCAGATGGGTTTTGAGTATGTCAAGAGAAGGAGACTCCCCAACCTCTCTAGACAATTTGTTCAGTGCCTGGGCACTGCTCAGGGAAGAAGTTCTGCCTCATGTCCAGATGGAACCTCCTGGGTATCAGTCCCTGCCCATTCCTCTGGTACCATTTCTGGGCCCCCCAGAGCAGAGCCTGATCCCTGCTCTGAGCCCTCCCTGCTCACAGGGACACACAGGGCTGACGGCCCCTCTCAGCTGGGACTCCTCTCAAGGCTGGACAGCCCCAACTGCTGCAGCTCCCTTGCTCCACACAGGATATTCAACTCCATGATCCTGTGGTCACTACACTCGTGGCTGCACCCAAACTTCCCATCCCCAACAGGACCTTCATTGTTTGTTAGAGTAAGGTCCAGCAGTGCTCCTCCATTTGTCTGGGTACAACACTGAACCTGCATCTTTCTCCTTTTCCCTTCCAAAACTCTCACAACACAGCTCGGAAATGCTCGTAGTGCTCTAAGGAAATCTGTCAGTGACATCCTGCTGATCTGTATGTGGCTTGTATTAACATTTGGAGCCAAGCTTCTGGTTCCTGACTGGTATTATAAAGAACCAAAATATGGATATTTTATCTGTGTAATGAATAGAAATGAAAGGTAAGAAGGAAAACACAGGCAACTCAGTTTATTTTTTAATTCTTTGCTTTAGAAGTTCTCAAATATTTTCAGATAAGGTATTTTCAACCTTAGAGTGGTAATGAACAGTAAAGACAGTAAAGGAAGTATATGCTTTTGTAGCTTCCTACAGAGATTTCACAACACTTTCACAACTTAAAAACCTTGCATTCACATCAGTAATGGTAAGGATTCCAGTTCTTTTTTAGTCATACCAAACTGGCTTTTTGAGTTAGCCAAGAACAACTTTTAGCCAACAAATGTACTACCTTCCTTTTAGGCTTCTTTTTGAATCATAGAGCCTTCTAAGACAGAAACATGAGGAAAAAAGGACATGAAGAACTCCCAACCCCACGTACAGTCGTTCCCAACTTGCTCTGAAGTCAGTGGCAGGCCCTTGATGGCCTCACTAGACATCTACCAGGTGGCCAGAGGTTCATTGCTAGGATCATTAGTCAAGACTCTGGCCACCAGTTTTGCCTCCTCAGCAATTATTTTAATGTTCTCTTATACCACCACAAGGACTTTCTCATGTGCTGCCAGAAATCTTGCCCATTCTCAGTCTCTCCCAGCTCTTGTGCCACACCTGCCTGGGTGTCAGAGGAGTTTATAAGTACCCCAGCAGTATGGCTCTAATATTTTGCCTTCATTGGGATGCTCTCAAAAGCTAGCCTGCTGCTATTCCACTGTTGCTAACAACAGAGCCCAGAGGAATTTCCCTTTGTGGAACAAGCAGCATGCTGTAAAAATAATTGCACAAATTTTGCAAACAGATGATGGGAAAAACAGTCTTGGAGGGTCTTTTACTAGAGTTTAGGGCTGAGATGTTCAATACAACCCTCTAATAAATCATCTCCTTGGAAAAAAAATTACATTTAGGCTTCTCAAGGAATATCTGATGACTGTGGAGTGGGTGTATCCCCTAATTGCCCCGCATTGCATCCTGTATGGCTCTGCATTGAACTTCTAAGAATTGTTTCAGCTAATGCCAGGTTTGCAAAATTTCTGATAAATTTGCAATAAACAGCACCAGTGACAAAATCATAATCTTGCCATTGATGTAATTTGGAATAAATAAGTGCTCAGGGATTCCTGGTGACACAAGACTCTCCTGACGGAAGATTTATGCTTGGTGGCAAAGCGGCACCTCAGGGTGTGGAAGAGCAGAGGAACAAACTTCCCCATCAGTTTCCAAACACCCACTATGATTTGGGATGGAAAGTACCAGTGTGGTAAATGAAAACAAGCCCCCAAAGGAGGACTAGTATATGTCTAACACAAATGTTACTGAAAGAACATTTTGTTGCAAGTCTGAAAGATTATAGACAGATCTGTGGGCAAAACTTTGACAAAGTAATGAAAAATTAAATACCAACAAACCAAGTCAGCTTTGATGGTGTTTTATGAGACAGCTTTCTCCCATCTATTTTTAGAAATAAGTATCTTTATTCTAGGATAAATGAGCTTAGAGTAACATCTGGGAACACACATCATTAAGCTTAACTTTTTGTTGAAATCTTCAAAACAATGACCGTCTCTCATGGGGAATCTCATTTATAAAAATGGAGGTTTCTGTTTGTTTTTATGGGTTGAGTTAAAAGAACAAACTGACAAAGTGGTAGCAGATTGTAGCTTTTACCAAAAAGTAGAAATGTTTCTAACAGTTTATCAATCAATTAGGCTCTTACAATAGACTTACTGTG